ACCCGAAGAGTACAGGTGCCCCTCCACAACCCATGATCAGTGTACGGTGAGCATCTTTTTCCGAAGAAAGTTCGGCTGCATGCTTTGGCCGTTTTGCGTCGCTGGCTGCGGTAGGCCAAGGGTGACGCCATCGACTGCCTGAAATTTGAATCACCAGAAAGATTCCTTGCATGTGCGCGGCGCCTCGAAATCCTGGAAATCGGACCTTCAGGCTTCCGACTTGACAAAGCTTGATGTAGGTACGTACTAGGTAGGTATTCCAGGCTCCACCATTCAAAGTGTGCACTGTGCACTGTGTAGGTACCACGAACCGACTTGGGCGCGGTGTCTAAACAGTTTATGAGTGTCAACCGGATCGCCGACAGGGGACAGCCCCGACCACCAGCGCCGCAGGAAATGTTTTCGACAGCTGACAGGCGAAGTAGGCACGTTTGGCCGACCGGGGGGAAATGTTTGACACTTCAATCCAGCTCAGACAGCACCCCCCCCCGCCCCCAATCGACCGGCCGGGTACCGTATACAGCCGGTCCCGTCACGGTACATCCAGGTAGCCCTGATGCCCGTGCTGATCTCATAAGACCACGACACAGGAGGCAAGGAGGTTACATTGCATACGCAATGTAGCAGTAGAACATCTGCGATAAAGAGAGAACACGGATACCACGCCTTTTCACTGTCCAGAATCCGTGAATCCACGCCTTCCCACCTGAGCCAGATTCAGAAACATTGCAGAAAAAGAAAACGTGGCCGCAAGTATGCCGGAATATTGCCCTTAAAGCGTCAATTTATAATGCTAAGGGTACCGTCACTTTGAAGTGGCACCAGGTTACGGTAGGTACCCTCGGACAACCAGCGCATTTCGTGGCCAAGATTAGACATCCGGATTAATACTGGGCAAAAAGGTAGCACACTAGTCGGACTATGGGCCATGGCTAGTCCGGTGATGAAACGGCCAAAGAGCAGCTGGCGTACGCGGCGGTACACCATATATGTACAGTTGGCGCGACCTTCAATTCTAACCAAACTCGAACTGGGCGCGCCGAACCACGTGGCTGGGGCTCCGTACGGTCGGACCCCGACCCTTTTGGGTACGCTGCCGGGTGACGGGCATCAGCTGCCCCCCACCCGATCGTAAGTTCAACCGCCGTGCCGGTACCGAGCCGTCGAAGCGACCGTCAGCTCCGGTCGGGTGCTCCGCAGTCTTCCACGTGGCACGAAACTGCAGCCTCGACCCATAGTCCCGACGCTCCGACCCAAAGGGGGCCAGATTGAGAATCGATGCTTTGCATGTCATGGACAGCGTACATTGCCCGTGATTTTTTCCAAGTTTGGCATGCTGAGAGAAAAATAGTAGTGGGCAATGACCCGTTTCTCGATACAGACACCCTGCTTGCACCGACATGTTCGAATATTCATATTAAATGTAACGCTTTCGACACCTATGCTCCTACGGGCTGCATACACCGACCGTCCCCCTTAAAAATGTTGCACGTTACACGGTAAAATGAAGCGAAAATCACCCGCAGAAACTAAAGCGGCCAATAATCGCCCCATCCAAGCTCAAGCAAGCCAGTTCTACCACACTTCGCAAGTACAATACCAACTACATAGCAAATAATTAATGTTGGTAGAGACTACAGTAGGGTATACTTCTCAGTGAGCATGTTAGACATTCGACCACTGTCACAGGCGACCCTGAGCAGAGTTTATCTTTCAATTGAATACAACTTGGCTGAGGGAGGAGCTGCAGACTTCTTGAGCTATTGAGCTTGGCGCTTGCCACCACCTTCAAACGATTTCTGGCCGATGATGTTAGTGGAGAAGTGTGGAGGGTTTCTGTCACTGTAAAAAAGGTGGTGTGGTTCTGAGCGGCGATAAATAGGTGTAGCATCGGATTCCAATCATGGATCCATCCGAGAAAGGCCCTTTTGGCATTCTCACAAGTAAGGCTGAGCCTGCAGCTGTGACCGACGTGAGTTTCAACCCTCTGATCTCTCTATTGGTATCGCACACTTCTTCGATGATGTCAATTTTGACTGGCCAGATGTTTGCGCCATCTTGGTACGGATTTAAAATACATGAGGTTTTCTGACGCCAAGCTCAAGTTCAAGCTCAGGCTCCGTATTTCAGCTCATTCGTGTGTTTGTATCGAGCACGCTACAGTAGTACGTCACTGTGATTGGATCATAAAGTTCCATCATGTACAACCACTCCTTGATGCAGGCCGTTCGTAGGCAGCAAGCTTTTACGTCGCACTTTGAGGAATATACAAAGCGGCGGGAGCTGGAGAAAGCTGCTGAGCTGGGGAAGGCAACTACAGCGATTGAGTCTTCAATGAGCACGATCGAGTGTTTACTGGAGGTGACATCTTTACCGGAGGTGGAAGTGGCTGGAGGTCGAGATGGATTGCAAGAGCTCTCAGAAGGCGGGTCAGTCTCTACAAGGTTGGTTCAAAAGCCCATGTTGCACTCTGATATTAGAAATCAAATCTAGTTTCCAGCTGGCGACGGAGTCCACTATTGATGTATGTTCTGATCCTGATATAAGCTCAGAATGGTTGAAGTGTCCGGCTGGCGCCGGGGTTTACAGCTGTACCAGAATGATGTCAATTCTGTCTATAGATATTTCATGCACCATCCTGGTGCAACTTAGGTTCGCTGTACCAGGATGGTGTCAGTTTCTTCTATAAAGAATTTATACATCATCCTGGTACAAAGGCAAAGCTAACCACTGTATCATGGCCAGATTCATATACCGCTGTACCAACATGATGCAAATTTTCTTTATAGAAATCTCTACACCATCCTGGTACATGATGTCCGGCGGCCCGCCGAATGAGTCCGGCGGCCCGCCGAATGAGTCCGGCGGCCCGCCGAAACTTCCGCCACTGACTTCGAGCATGTCCACCCCATGCTCCAGGGTTTTGCAACATCGTACTGACTACTGAGTTAACCTAGTTTAACTCAATACAGGGACCCGGGAGCTTTGGAAGGGTCGAGCCGCGCGCCACAGAAAGTTCCATCATCACGGCAATCATCAGAGCCCCTGGATGGGAATGAGGTGTACAAGCAAGGGGGGTACAGTGTAGTACGGAAGTGGGAGTATGGCGCCAACCTGTTCTACAAGCGCGGCAACAAAGGCAACGAGAGTCAGCCTGGCCCCAAATACTTCATGCACCAGAATGCCAACCTCCTCAACCATAAGGCACGAGTCGTCCTCCACATGTGGTCTGGGAAGCATGATGTTAGGACCGGCCTCCGCATTTCGTGGCGCAGCTACGCCTCCTATCCTGACTGGCGCACGGCAGAACAGCACTTGCTGTTTTTGCAGCAACATGGTTCTGTCTTTGAGGTCATCCAGGATGGGCAGCCCTGCAAACCTTACCTGGACCTGGACGGCAAAGAGGGGCTCCCTTTCAGGCCTCGTGTCCCGGCGATGGATGGTGCCGGTGAAGGACCAGTTAGGATGACCCAACAGGAGGTCATGCAGATGATCGAGAAATGGACGACGGTCGTGTTTGAAGCCGACTACGGCATCAGATTTACAGCCCAAGACAACTTCATCTGGATGCAGAGTGGGAGCCAGACAAAGTTCAGTATGCACCTCACGATCAATCTGACGGGGCCCCAGCTGGTTTTCAAGTCAAACCTGTCGGACGGGGCCAAGGACTTTGCTGTCCGCTTGAAGAAGCGGTTGATGCTCTGGGCCCCCGAGGTAGCCGGCCTTTTGGACCTGGACGTGTACACGAGGGACCGGGAGTGGCGCGCGCCGGGGAGTGCAAAAGTGGAGAAGCCAGAGAGCATCCTCCAATTTCTCGATCCGGCACACACGTGGAAGGATGCATTGGTGACGTGGTTGCCGCCGCCAGAGGTAAGTGCCAGCTCGAGCATGCTTCTCCTGACTCTTGGTTCTTGATGGTCCATGAATCTGGAAAGGGAATCAACATCATTCTGGTACAGCTGTAAACCCCGGCGCCAGCCGGACAATTCAATTGTTTTGGGCTTGTACCAGGATCATGCACAAACTTTCTATAGAGAGTATCAACATGATCTTGGTACAAGCCCTCGTATGTTGTATCTTGGTCGAGCTTGGCCAACCAATGACTGTTGGATGCAGGATTGTCAGATAATGAAGGTGCCATTCACGCTGCCGGCCAAGTTGTACAAGGGTCCATCGGATCCAAAGCAGCTGACGGCTTTCGGCGACCGCACTCCACAGAACAGTGCGTTTGTGAAGGAGCGCATGCTGACCTTGTTGCGGGAAAGGCTTCATCCTACGGCCTATTCGGAAGGCCCCTATCGGTTCAACTACACCGACCGGTCCGAGCCCTGCTACACAGGCCGCGTGCATGACGGCCGTCAGAACCTGACGTGCCATCTCGCATCTGATGGCAAGATTTACGCACTGTGCTTTAGCACCACGACCGACCTTCATGGCGACGCCCCGGAGCCTTGCCGTTCCAAGGCGTTATACCTGGGAGACTTGTACGAGGACAACCTGACTTTCCGGTCTGCTGCAATCGTGGTTGACATGGAGTACTTAGGACGTGATCGCGCAGCCAGCACTCCCGCTCTGCTTGCCGAAGTGGCCGCCGGGCGAGCAGTGTCTACAGATTCGGCACGCCTAAACAGCGTCATCGACAGGTTTGTCCTTCTTTCATGGCCGAATGTTTACTTATGTTTGAAGGACGGATGAATCTTATAGCTTCTGCTCAATTCGTAATAAGAGATGACCCCCAAGACGAATCGGCATAAATTTGACGCATGCGGGGGGCTTGAACAGGTTGTGAGTTGAGTTGAGTCGTGTGAACCCCGGCATCGGAAACCTTAAAGCACTCTGAGCTTGTATCAAGATGGCATATGAATTCGGCCGGGACATTCTACATCATCTTGGTACACCTCTAGATCTATCAGATTGTGGACAGTTGTGCATTCATGAAAAGGTTGTGCTTGACATTGTGAAAGCTTCTGCAGGTGGATTGGGCAGACGGATGCGGAGGGAGACCTTGGCCCTCCGGAGTTCCCTCTACTGGCCTTCCGGTCGGGCGTTGGTACCGGCAAGACGGAAACCTGTACAACCATTTTATCTGAGCTGGAGCATTTGAGCAGCCGACGACCGCTGACCATTGTCTTCATCACATATCGAGTGGCTCAAGCCAAGGATCTGAAGAAGAGGTTCCCGGGCTTTGAGAACTACCTGGACCTCAAGGCCGATTACATCGATCAGTATTTTGCGGATCCAGGGAGCAGCGAGAAGCTCACCGCGCTTCAAGATAGAGATGCATTTCCTGATCTCATCATCCAGGTGGACAGCTTGCTCGGGCTCCGCCCTCAGGGAGTTGGTGAGGTTCCACCCTTTGACGTGGTGGTTCTGGATGAGACTGCCAGCATACTGGCCCATCTCTCTGCAAAGACACTCAAACGGGGGATGTGTACCGCTAATCTCCTGCTGGAGATCGTTCAGAATGCATCACGGGTTCTCGCTATGGACGACGGATATGGCCAGCGGGAGCATGACTTCTTCCAGATGGCGGACGTGCAAGGACAGCTTATCATCAATGAGCGCTTGGCTAAGGTTGGTAGCAAATGTCTCTGACTCAATCTGACAGAAGCTTCTTGAAAAAAACAATGGCCATGTAGACATGCGTTCATCTCATCGAACGAACTCCCGAGCCCCTTGCAATACGACGGCCTTAAGGTCCAAGAACATTTGAGAATCAGAAGCAAAAACTGAGCAATCATTGCCAAGCTCGTGAATCAATACTCTATTCCATATAGGAGCAACTCACATTCCGAATCCATCGATCGGAGTCGGATTGGCAAGATATGATCATTGCCGACCTTCAGGCCGGGCTCAATGTGGTTGGTATCTTCATGTCCACCAAGGCACTCTATCGCCTTCAAACACGCATCCTGGAGAAAGGCATATTGTTAGAGGCGGACATAGTGGTACATACAGCCCTCAGCAGCAGCGAGAATATGGCTCTTCTCGATGATGTCGAGACAAAGTGGAAGGTGCGGTTGTTGATGTACAGCCCCACAGTGGAGGCAGCTGTGAACTTTGCCGTGCGGTGGTTTGACTCCAAGTACATATTCATGTGCACGCACAGTGCAACCGCTCGAGGTGTTTGGCAAGGATCTTTGCGAGTCCGACACACGAGCAACCCAGTTGTCAACTGCTGCATCCAGTCTGGCATATCGGTGCTGGTGGATGATAGAGTGGTGGTTCCCGTGACAGAGCTCGAGATCTCCAAGACTATCAGCAACACCCAGGTGAGTAGAACAAAAGATACACCTTCGATCGTCATAAAAACATCGTTGCATGTTTCCATGTCTGTCGATGAATCGCTTGAGGTTGCTAACCTCTCAAACCTGACGTCTTTCATTGATCACTGTAGGCCACGGCGGTCACGGTGCTTTCTGAAACGACCGGAGTTGAAGGAGTGGAGGCTGAGCTTGTCAAGGTATGTTTACTTAGCCCACGAGCGAAGCAATGATGTCAAGTCCTGGTACAGATTCAAAGCTTACCACTGTACTAGTGAAGTTCAGTGGTCGGTCTTTCAGATTCTTCTGACCAAAGACCTGCTTCCTCGACTTGGCCTAATGAAGCAGATTCGGAAGACTTGATTACAACGATGCGGCTGAAATCCTAACATTCATTCTCGCAGAAGGCGAAGAAGGCGCCGGGTGAGTTCGTTTCGCCTCGACGGATTACCGTCGAAGAGACATCCGCATACCTCCGTTGTTGCAATGCGGAGCAGGCGCGGTCGTTCCGAGATGAACGAGTCTCCATGCGAGACGAGAACAATCCGCTCTTGCCAAGCAGGGTGGTGCACATCAAGGACGACGGACCTCTTTTTCGAACCCTGACCCACACCGAAGCAGAGCGACGCAACTCAGATGAACGTTTCCTTCACGAGTTCAAGCTTCAGATTGACAAGGCGGGGCACATCCTGAAGGTGGCCCCGCTTGTACCCACGCCGGTGGGGAAGAAGCAAAGACCTGGTGTATTTGGCGAGGAGGCAAGAAGAATTTTTGGGGCAAAGGCGCTGAGCGTGAAAGAGTACGCTGAGGTGAAGGAGCGCCGGAATGTGAAGCGGGACGTAGGCAATGAGAATGTCGAGGCATTGAGGTACGAGCTATGCAAATTCTACGGCCTCACAACGCTCGAGCCTTTTTTTTGGGACACGGTGCAAGACGCCATCAAGCCACCATTTATGGAGGAGCTTTCCATGCTCCTCAAGGTCCTCATCCCAGACGAGAATCTGAATGAGGAAGGGCTGGGTGTCACCATGAACGACAAGCCAATGGCAGAATTTGTGCGAGAAGTGCTCAAGGCCCTTGGTCTCGCCCACCCCTTCGACCTGACTCCGACCCGCCCCTTTCTCGCGGGTGGGCTCAAGAAAGCCCTTCTGGAGACCGCCTTTTTCAAGGGGTATAGAAGTCGCTCTAGGCGTGGAGCATCGCTGGCGGAGAGGACCCCCTCGGAGATGTTCGGGAGGTTGCGTCTCAAATTCAAAGTGGGCTACATTGAGTGGTCGCCTGGAGAGCTGAAAGGGGCTTTAAACGTGATGATGGGAGCAATCGGGCTCGAGTTTGAGCCACTGATCGAGGTATCTCGGCCGAGACGTGGGACCAACAAGTCGGGTGCGGGGCAAGCGGACTACCAACTCCGCTTGAATGCTGAGAAGGTGCACAAGATGGCGATGCTGGCAAAGCTTCAATTCAGACAAGTGGCCGACTGGTGGAAATACATCAAGGCTCTCAGCCCGGTCGCACGAGAGTACTTGGATTCGGTGGATGCCAGCATCTTCGACCCCTTGCTGGAGAGGCCATCCGGCTTCCCACGCCTCGCTGATCTCCCCGAGCCCGATTCCCCCGAGCCTAAGGTGCCAGCGGAGGAGGTCTGCCTGATCACCATTCCACCTTAGCCATCCATGGCATGCCCCATTGCGAGGGGGTTGTCCCGCGACCCGGTACGTTATTTGGCGCTTCTTATTGATCTCTAACTCCATCATCATGTTAGAGCGGATATCTCCAGTAGCAAGAATCAACATCAATTTGGTACAGGGTAGTGGCATATTCAGCTTGTAAAACTCTATCCTAAGCCGGGCAGACTAAAAGTTCTTTGCTGTACTGGGATGATGTCCGTCATCTCTATAGACATTTCATGCACCATCCTGGTACAAGCTCAGAATAATTCATTGAAGTGTCCGGCTGGCGCTGGGCTTCACAGCTGTACCAGGATGATGTCGGTTATGACTGGTCAAATTCATGCACCATCCTGGTACAAGCTCAGAATGATTGAAGTGTTTGGTACAACAGCTGGTACCGGTGTCCGATTTTATTTGCAAAAAGCTTGCATCATCTTGATACGCCTCTGAAATTTTCGAAATTTTTCTGTTGCAGCGTGCGGCACGAGTAGGGATTGCAGGTTTGGGAAACCCAAAGGGCGACCTTCGAACTGACTGTCTTCTAGCCAATGCTCTCGTACCTTGAGCGTTCGGAGTAGGGGATTGCAGGTTTAGGAAACCCAAAGGGCAACCTTCGAACTGACTGTCTTCTAGCATACGCTTAAATATGACCAAGAGGTAGGTTTTAACTTAGTGTATTGGGCACTCCATTTTCATGATGCCAGGGCATGCATGTTACTTACATGGATTGTCGAGCCTCATAGTGTAGATCTTAAAAGTGAAAGTGCGCGCCATCGGGCGCTCGTTTTACATACGCCTAATGTAGTACGTGTGACCATGCAAAGCATACTTCACACACATCTCAAGAGATCCAATCAAGTAGAAGATTACTATCGAGAATGCCTCAACAAATCAATAGGCCACATTAAGCGCATCTATGAGGAAGAACGGTGCACAAGCATGACCCTTAAGCTAGGGGAAATTGCGGGATTAAAAGGGTTTCTTCCTCCCAATTCGATGCACGACCTGGTGAAAGTGGTGCGCTTGGGTCTTGAGAAAGCCGGAGTAAGGGCACGTAGGTGCCGCGATCCACATCACCTTCTTGTAGAGTGGGGGGATATACTAAAGGAATCCATACGCCCGCAAGTTAGGTTCAACAAGCATACTGAGCTTCTAGCACATGCAACAGCAGATGGCGGGGGACAGTATATTTTCAATGGAGATAGTCGTGCTGCAGTTCCGATGTTAGATGAGATGAGCAACCCTTTGAAGTGTCGGTAGGCTTACGATGGAATGTCATGCACGAGGGCCAAAAGTTTTCTGAATGTAAGTTCACTCAGTAAGATCACTCACAGTGATACGAATGCAACCATCGTACCAGGATGATGTAAGTTCTTTCTTTAGAGAATTAATGCACCATCCTGGTACAACCTCACAATGGACGAATTGTCCGGCTTGCGCCGGTGTTCACAGCTGTACCAGGATGATGTAAGTTCTGACCGGCCAAATTTATGCACCATCCTGGTACAAGCTCACAATGGTTGAAGATTCCGTTGTGAAACCCGTTGTGGTTCACAGATGTACCAGGATGACGTAATTTTCTTTATCGAAAAATTCTCACACCATCCTGGTACAAGCTCAGAATGATTGAAGAATCTGTTGTGAACACCGTTGTGGTTCACAGCTGTACCAGGATGATGTAAGGATCTTCTATAGACAATGATTGCACCATCCTGGTACAAGCTCAAGATACTTGAAGAGTCCGTTGTGGTTCGGAGCTGTACCAGGATGATGTAAGTATCTTCTATAGAAAAATCTCGCACCATTCCGGTACAAGCTCAAGATACTTGAAGAGTCCGTTGTTGATTCACAGTTGTACCAGGATGATGTAAGTTCTTTCTATAGACAATTCTCGCACCATCCTGGTACAAGCTCAAGATGTTCTGAAGAGTCCGTTGTTGATTCACAGCTGTACCAGGATGATGTAAGTTCTTTCTTTAGACAATCTATGCACCATCCTGGTACAAGCTCAGAATGGTTGAAGTGTCCGGCTCACGCCGGGGTTCACAGCTGTACCAGGATGATTTAAGTTTCTTCTTTAGAGAATTCATGCACCATCCTGGAGCCAACTTCACAATGGTTGAAGAGTTTGTTGGAGTTCACAGCTGTATCAGAATGATGTCAGGGTTCTTTGTACAACGGTCAGATTCGTGTTTGTACCTCGGCACGCTCTAAGCTTTTGGCTGCCGCCGGGGGCCTCCTCCATAACTCATCGCTTTCGAAGCCCCATCGGCAATCGACAATGCATTTGGAGTTTCGACAATGCATTCTGAGCTTGTACCAGGATGGCGCATGACTTGTCTATAGAGAATACTTACATCATCCTGGTACAGCTGTGAACACCGGCGCGAGCCGGACACTTCAACCATTCTGAGCTTGTACCAGGATGGTGCAGGAATTGTCTATAGAAAGAACTTACATCATCCTGGTACAGCTGTGAACCCCGGCGTGAGCCGGACAATTCAACCATTCTGAGCTTGTACCAGGATGGTGCATGAATTCTCTATAGAAACAAACTTACATCATCCTGGTACAACGGGGAAATTTGAGAGTCTGTACCACGATGGTGCGGGAATTGAGGCTAGCCTAACTTACATCATCCGGGTACACTTGTGAATCCCGGCCGGGCGCGAGCCGGACAATTCAACCATTTGGCTAGCCGGAATTACATCATCCTGGTACAGCGGTGAATTTTGAGTCTGTACCAAGATGGTGCATGAATTCTTATAGAAAGAACTTACATCATCCTGGTACGATTTTGAATACTATGGTCAGTCTAGGCCATAGCCTACTTGTCCGAAAACTATGTGGGATTTTTGACATGGTAGAGTGAATCGCTTTGGATGGCAAAGTACAGCTAGTATTCCGTGTATGATTCGGTGTCTGACTCGAAACTCGAGTTTGAAGCAGAGTATATAATCGAAGCCTCGCACAATGGCTCGGATGGCTCGATATGTAAAGATTTTGGCGGCTCCTCGACAAATCAACCAATTTGTTGACCCACCTGGATTGTGAACATTTAGTTGAACGATTGTTCCGACCCGCAGTCCGAGATTCTGACAAGGTTCAGTCACATATGTATCCCCATTCACCTATTCGCGCAAATAGAATTGCTGATATTTTACACCCAAAGCGCTTTGATAAATTCATTCATTTATAAGTGTCCGAACGCCTCGAAAAAGATGCCCATACCCCCTTGGCAAAGAGCCTCATGAAATCGTGCTTCCGTTACCCAGAGCGTTTGCTTCGGATTATTCTGAGAATAACTTCTTACAAGAGAGTATCATCCCCATGACATTAAACCAGTCAGCACCAGCAACCGATGATGACGTGAAGAGAGTCATATGCGGCGAGGATTTCTGTCATAACCTGCTAAATGACGGCATCGCAAGGGCCTCAACGACTTGTACGCAGTACATGGCGAGCCTGGTTTTCATGTATAAGCTGCTGAACAGGGGAACGGTTATGCCGCCCAACGTCGAGTGGATCCGCGATGACATTGACCGCCTCATCCCCTTGCTGGAAAAAAAGTACACAAATAAGGGGACACTATGCAACAAATACACCCCGTTGATGACCCTGTCAAAGCAGCAGGGGTGGATGGAGTCGTACAATCGATACTATCGTAGCTTCTTGATCGCAAAAACAGCGCAAATCTCTCAGGCAGGATCGCAAAAAGCCACCCAGAAGGAAGAAACGAATTGGATCGACATGGGCGAGATCAAACAAAAGATGGAAGAGCTAGGAAGGCGGATCAGGCGCCAAATCCTTCCTGAGTTCCGCGCGAGCCGGAGACCGCTCGGTCAAGACGAGGTGAAGTGCGTTTTTCAACACCTCGTGCTGGCAGCAAACGTGCTCGAACCTCCCAAACGACGTGATTGGGGCAATCTTCCGATCCGGAAGTTGGACGGCACCTTCTACAATGAAGCAGCGAAGGCCCTATATGAAGAGTTTGGCAACGAACTGGTCGAGAAAGCCACCGATACATATGTCATGGTCCTGAAGACGTTCAAAACTGCCAAAAAGTTCGGTCAGCAGGAGTTCGAGTTGCCAAAAAGGCTCTCACACTACATCCAGCGCTCGATCGAGCTAGTTCCCAGAGCATACTTTGTGACATTGCTGAGCGACCTCGGCCAGCCCATGAATGATAATTATTGGACGCAATTCATTCGAGAGATTCCGTTTTCAAAGGGGCGTCATCTCACGACGAACCATCTGCGACACGTATTCGTTACCGATAGATACAACAAAGACGCCTCCCTCTCCGATCGACAGTCCGTTGCTGGCCGAATGTTGCACAGCGTCTCGACACAGATGCGAAGCTACGAGAGAAAACGCAGCTAAGTGGCCTCGATCGACCCGTCCCTTACGAATCTCATCATATTGTTCTCAGCTTGTTGGCTTTCGGGGATCCCAGGTCCCGTCACAGGGTAACCCGCCGCAAGCAACCTGTCGAGGGTCCTTTGTTGAGTTCTTATGCCGCTTTTGTACCTTTCGAAAGCCTTGGTCAACAGAATGTCGTTTCGGTTTCGAATATAGTAATCTTTGACATGTTTGCTGTGCTTGCCGGGGTTTTCTTCGATGTAGCGCCTCTTCGTTTTGCATGTCACGCAAGGACACGTGCGCAGCTGGTCGGTGTAGCTCAATTCGTCGATTGTATGGTCGGCCATTAGTCCGTTGAGGTTACGAACGAAAAAAAACCTTGTCCGTCCGCGTTCGTGTGAAGATTTTTATCTCGGGAGATCCTAAGGCATGGAAGCCGCCAACACCCCTTGCTCTCTGGAGCACACCATTCACGCACCTGCAATCGAGACCCCAGAGACTCTGCCCCCAGGGGAGGAGGATGCTGCGACCCAGGGCACCCGCGATGTAAGGCCTGTGGCATCCAACGTTTTGAGCATGAAGGATGAGATATTGCGCCTCGCCGACCACGGACTGTATGCAATCCCGGTGCACATTACGATCGACTCACGAGGCAAGAAGCGGAGCCGGTTCCCTTCCACTTACAAACACATTGTCACCGTGGACGATTGGCAGAACACATCGGCGCAGTGCTCGATGCATTTCAAAAGCCCAACGGAGTTGCCATCTTGACAGGCACGAGCGGTCTATTCGTCATTGATATTGACGTGACGGAGAACGGTGATAAGAAATCGGGAATGGAATTCTGGCATGGGCAAGTGAACGAGCATGGGGAGCCTGAGAGTCTCTCCGTTCGCACAGGTTCAGGAGGGCTTCACTATTACTTTCGGATCGATAAGTCGACCCGGCTTGCATGAAACTACCAATTTTGGTGGACTCACGCTCGATGGGCAAAAGTTTGCTATTGATGGACGTGGCACCGGGGGAGTTATTTTTGCACCGCCGAGCACGTACGGGGAAGGGAAAGAAAGGCGTCGTGAGTATACATGGGTGACTGGAGGCGAGGGTATAATCAAGGGCATGCCTTTGTGGCTCGTGGCTTTAATCAACCGGGGGCGCGGTTTGGGAGGAGTCTCGAGGCATGCAAAAGGCCAAGTGTCTCACAAAAAGGAAGTCGATCCTGAAGAAATCGTGCCAGAAACCGTCGACGACGCAGAGGCTGGCGGGCCTGCAGCCAAGGCGGCTCCGGGCTTGGCACACATGGAAGTGAAGCAGCTTGTGAGGGAGAAGGCAAAGGATTGCTCTTCTTTTTACAGCGGCTTAACAATCCTACCGGACGGCAACAGATCGTTTCAGTTCAGGGTCACTGGCCCGCGCCAGTGCTACCTGGGAAAATCTCACAGAGGGTCTAATAATTTCACAGTAATTCAAGGATGTTCTGGTGACTTCCAGGAGCTCTTCTACAATTGCTTCGGTTCCGGTTGCTCCGACAGCAAGCCAAAGCTGCTGGGGCGTTTGACAATATCCGCTGCTCTTGAGCAAGCTGGGGGTGGTCCTTTTGGACCCAAGGACAATCAGCCGTCGAGCTCAAAGGAGCTGGCCGCAAGGTTTTCAGATCCCTTCTTGCTGTCCACTGTGAGCAAGAGTGATTTTGGAAGTGCTTTGATATTCAGCAAATTGTTCGAGCACGACAGACGGGTCGTGTACGACTCGGGGAGATTTTGGACATGGGATGGAACAAGTTGGGTGCCCTCTGATACGGAGGCAGCCCTATTGAAGACCTCGTTTATGTACCACATGGGGCGGATCAAAACTTACTGGTGCGATCTACTGGATCGGGCATTTGACGAGAAGTCCAAACAGCTGACAACTTGCAGAGACAATGCTCTGGATGAGCTGCAATCCCGGGCCTCGCCAAGTGCGGACAAGATCAACAAGGACATTTTGAAGAGCATCAAAAAGGCGGAGAAGGCTATCATCGCAGACTTCATCATGGAGATGAAGAAGATACCCGAGCCGGTGTGGCACGGGGCGGCGGTCGAGTCTGTCCCTATCGCTCATAGGTGTCTCATCCCTCTGAAAGTGAACTTGCATGTGCGGGATTTTGCAAGCTTGCTAAATGCCAATCGCGACTACCTCAACACCACTTGCGGCTCCATCGACCTTCGAACGGGGGAGCTCTTTGCTCACCATCCAAGCAACATGCTCTCGAAGGAGATTGGTACCCTTTATGAGGGACCCAATTATCCTTCGCCGCTAATCGACGAGTTCATGGGACAGGTGCAGTCAGAAGCCATAGTTCCTGTGTTGCAGATGACGCTTGGGTATGGCATTACAGGTCACAGCAAGGAGAAGCAATTCGTCGTTATGCATGGGCCAACAAACAGCGGGAAGACGAAAGTCGTCACCATGATCCGTGAGGCTATAGGACCCTACTGCGTAGCCATGGCCAGAGATTGCGTGATAGGCGCAGGGGAGCACTCGGAAGGGGCTGCTACGCCGCATCTGCTTATGCTCGATGGAGCACATATAGCCGTCCTCGAAGAGACAGAGGACTCAGATATATACAACGGGGCATCTGTGAAGGCAATTGCATCCGGCGATGGAAGCATGACAGTGCGGGGGCTGCACAAGGACCCCGTTGAGGTCACCATGAGATGTTTGCCGATCATATGCACCAACTCATTGCCGAAGTTCAATGCAAGGGACACGGGTACCCTCAACAAGCTGCGGATATTTCCATTTGAGCACGAGTTCGTTGAGAAGCCGATGCCTGGAACCCACCAGAGATTGAGGGACACAGATCTTATGGACAAGATCAAGACCCCCGAGTGGAGGAAGCAGATGCTAGCCTGGCTAGTGCGTGGCAGCATTATGTGGCACGAGCAGGGCGCTCTTCCAGCGGTCGAGGAGTTGCCTCCAGCCATGGTCAAGGCGCTCGAGAGCTATTCGAATGACAACGACCACTTTGGAAATTTCATCAAGGACAGGTGCATCTTGCAGCCGAGCAAGCGGTGCCACGTGAGGCCTCTGAAGGAGGCGTATGAGGATTACATGGGTAGCACACAACGCCCTATGGTCGTGAATGACTTTGACAAGACTCTGATGCGGCAGCTGATCCTGAACGGGGTCGAGTATTCGCTCGGAGTAAAAATCAAACGAATCAATACCACTGGTTACAAAGGTATAGGTCTGCTTGATCCAGCCGAAGAATCACCGGACTCGGAAGGAGACCCTTGACGGCGGCAATAGACGAGCAAGTCGCGGGAGTAGGTAAGGTAGGCTTGAGTAGGTCCGAAGGTAGGTGTCAAAAAAATTCCGTTTTCCGAATGATTTACGTACTGTTTTGTAACTAGGTAGTTAAAGTAGTTATAAATTTCTTTTTTTATATATAGAAGAGAAGAGAAGCCTTTCTCACACCACATCAATTGCTCATCTTCTGTATATACAAAGAAAGCTGGGAGAAAGCTACCTCCCTACCTTTAATTTCCTTCAGATCCATCGACTGATCATAGGACTGAAATCCTGTAGAACTGCAACTACTCCAACTACCTCCCTAAGAGCACTGCCCTAAAGGCCTCACTCCACAGCCTCGCCGGCACGGCTATGGACAACTTGGCGTCGTCTACCCTGCTCAGGTCGATGTTGAAGCCGCTGAGCAGGATGGGCAAAAACACCATGAGACTATGGAGCCCGGAGTACCACCCAAGCACCCGAAACTTCTTCAAGAAGCTGTTCACGGACTCCACAGCCGAGGTGTTGACCCACCGAAGAGCGTCGTAGTACTCCGTTGCGTTGCTGGGCCCACATTTGTGCACCTCTGCCCCGGCCTTCGCATAATGAAACCTGCATGGAAGCGAACGCCGCATGAACAACCGCGCTATCGCAACACCCTCACCCTTTGCTAGAAAGACTCGAACTGTATACGAATCGACCAGCAGAAGCGGAAACTTGTAGTTGAGGCGAAGCTTACCTGTCCACAACGAATGTGACGTCGGAGAAGAACGCGGGCTCGCGACGCATGCAGTAATTCCTCAGCTGGCACGCGTTATCGTAGACGACGTACTTAGGGAGCTCCTCCCGGTCCTTGCGCGTGTACAACACCGCAAACGCATCGCGGGGGCTCTCCCCTCGGAGGAAGAAGTGGAAGCCCAAGATGACCCGGTGGGGGCAGCAGAAGACGAAGGCGCCCCGGCTGCGATGCGGGCGCCTACCCTTCTTCGTCGACTTGCCCCCCCCCTTGACCAGCCCGGAGACGTTCGCGGCGTCCCACTCGCCCACCGTCTGGCCGGTCGCGCACTTGAACTCCTCCGACGTCCTGCTGCGCCCATCCTCGTGCTCGAAGGAGGTGTATCGCAGCAAGCCCCGCTTCTGCTCCCACCCCGGCAGCG